TTCATGCAATACCATTTCCCTTCTCTGAGTCTTACTCTTCTCATCTGTAAAATGCGGGATCAGCTCCCTGTCCTGTCTTTCTACTAAGGATTTCCTGAGAATCACACAGAGACTGCTGAAAACCGTCTGTTTCTCTCTCTCCCCCCATCCTCCACTATCTCTGCACCTGCAGGGGGCTCACTGAATAACTGTCATACAAATGAACAAATGAAAGATAAAAGAGATTTGTAATTTGTAAACATGCTACAACTGTACCATTTATCCTTTGCTGACACTTGTCTCTGGTTCAGGCACTGTTTGCTGCTTTAAACACACTATTTCCTAATCTTTCCAATAATGGATGTGATGATTATGATGATGCTGATTTTATAAATGAGGATATTGAGGCTGCTGAGGTAAATTGACTTGCCCCAGGTCATCTATCTAGGAAAGGACAGAGCTGGATTTTGAACCAATGTTCACAGAATTACAAAGCTAGTTCTCTCTCTGATTCCACTTTCATAATTGTTACATCATTCTTTTTTCATGTTACCATTACTGTCCAAGGTCACAGCAAGTTAGCAGACCTACAGTCTTTCTGATTCAAAGCTATACCCTCCTTCCACTACACCAGAGTAATTGGTGGAAATACCCTCCTTCCTTGGGTAGTGCCCATCTTTGCCTAACCAAAGATGGTGGCAGATCCCCCTCCTCTGTAAAAGTCCCTTCTTGGACTGGAATTTTTGCCCCATGTTGAAACCCCTTCTTGATCTCTCTGTATAGCACAGGTAGATGAGTTTACAACTCATCTTGTTAAACTGCCTCCTTTAATAGCTGGGGAGACCAAGGCCCATGGTGGTAAGGTGACAAGATCACAGAGAGCCTAGAACCTAGGTTTCCTGACTCACTCACTCAATTCTCTTTACTCTCTCTGCCTCTGTCTTAATGCAATGTGGTAGGGGAGCCTCCAAGCTGGGGCAGACACAGGGGCATTTGGGGCACAGAGAGGGGCCAGTTCCCCAATTTGCCAGCATGGCAAATTGTGTCCCATTTTTCTGCAGCTGGGAAATGAGGGTGGAAAAATGGGTGGTCAGGAACCTCTGTGATCTGTACTTCCCCACTCCTCAGGCCTCTGGCACCCCCATCCCCATTCCCACTCACATATTCCTGGAGCAGCTGCTCAGCATATTTGGTGAGGAGGCGGGCAAGGCTGTGTGTCTGACGGATCTTGGCCTCCAAGTGGGGAAGGAGTGAGATTGTGGAGTCAGCCTGTGGGTCTTCTGGTGGGAAAAAGGGGTAGGGATGAGGGCAGCCCAAACCCCTACGCCTTGACCACTTCTTGCAGGCTGGCTCTTCCTTCCTGAATCTAGAAGCTCTGCTCTGAATTCTCCAACTTTTAAGCCGGGCAGGGTATGTCCCATTCCCACCGATGGTAAATGAGGCACCAGACATTCGCCAAACAGTTGTCCTACCTGCAATGTATTCTCTGATGCCAAATCATTGTTGAAATCCTATTAAAGCCAAATTCAAATATTGCCTCCTCAGTGCAGCCTCTGGATTCACCCCTCTCTTAAATTAACTTTTTCCTTTTATTTTAGGCCATTTACTCATACTTCCAAGGTAGTTTTTTTAATGGCTCCTTTATTTGTGTGAATCTGCCTCAGTCTGGGAGCCCTTTGAGGATAGGTTTCACATATCTCGGTACCTCAGTGATGGTGAAGTTTAACATCATTGAAGCACAGAATTTCAAGTCGGAATGCTCCTTTAAGCCCATTCTACAGACTGGGAGACTGAAGTCCCATTTCCTCCCCAAAGGACCTTCTGTGCAAAAAGCTAGAAAGCCGCATCATCCACGACTAGCCTTTCCTAGCGTAAGCTAGAGGGTGGAGCCCCGGAAGCATGACTACATTTCCCGAGCTGCACAGCGCGCCTACCAAGGCATGCTGGGGAATGTAGTCCTGGCCCGGCAACTCCCGCCCCGCCCCCCCACCCCAAGTCTTAATTTCC